GGGAGAGGGGGAGGCGGATAGAAGATGGATAGAGGAGAAGATAGGTGGAGAGGAGACAGACAGGCCAAAGAGGCGGGGATGGAGCCAGTAAAGGTGAGTGTAGGTGGGGAGTTAGGGAGGGGATAGGTTGGTCCAGGGAGGATGGACAGGTTAGGGAGGCGGGGATGAGCTAGGCTGGTTTTGGGATGGGGTTGGGGGAGGGGAGATTTTGAATCTTGTGAAGTCCACATTGATACCATTGGGCTGCAGGGTTCCCAAGCGGAATATCAGTTGCTGTTCCTGCAACCTTCGGGTAGCATCGTTGTGGCACTGCAGGAGACCCAGGATGGACATGTCATCTGAGGAATGGGAGGGGGAGTTGAAGTGGTTCGCAACTGGGAGGTGCAGTTGTTTAGTGCAAACCTAGCGTAGGTGTTCTGCAAAGCGGTCCCCAAGCCTCCGCTTGGTTTCCCCGATGTAGAGGAAGCCACACCGGGTACAGCGGATGCAGTATACCACATTGGCAGATGTGCAGGTGAACATCTGCTTGATGTGGAAAGTCTTCTTGGGGCATGGGATGGGGGTGAGGGGAGAGGCGTCGGGGCAGGTGTAGCACTTCCTGCGGTTGCAGGGAAAAGTGCCGGATGTAGTGGGGCTGGAGGGGAGTGTGGAGCAGACAAGCAGACGGAGAGCGTGGTCCGTCCGGAAAGCAGATAAGGTGGGGAGGGAAAGATGTCTTTGGTGGTGGGGTCGGATTGCAGATGGCGGAAGTGTCGGAGGATGATGCGTTGGATCCGGAGGTTGGTGGGATGATACGTGAGGAAGAGGGGGATTCTGTTTTGGTTGTTACTGCAGGGAGGGGGTGTGAAGGATGAGTTGCGGGAAATGCGGGAGACACGGTCGAGGGCGCTCTCGACCACTGAGGGGGGAATGTTGCGGTCCTTGAAAAACGAGGACATCTGAGATGTACGGGAGTGGAATGCCTCATCCTGGGAGCAGATGTGGCGGAGGCGAAGGAATTGGGAATAGGGGATGGCATTTTTGCAGGAAGGTGTTTGGGAGGAGGTGTATTGTAGGTAGCTGTGGGAGTCAGTGGGCTTGAAATGGATATCGGTTGCTAGGTGGTTGCCTCCCTAGCTCCCCACCTACACTCACCTTTACTGGCTCCATCCCCGCCTCTTTGGCCTGTCTGTCTCCTCTCCACCTATCTTCTCCTCTATCCATCTTCTATCCACCTTCCCCTCTCTCCCTATTTATTTCAGAATCCCCTTCCCCTCCCCCATTTCTGAAGAAGGGTCTAGGGCCGAAACATCAGCCTTCTTGCTCCTCTGATGCTGCTTGGCCTGCTGTGTTAATCCAGCTCTACACCTTGTTATCTCAGATTCTCCAGCATCTGCAGTTCCTATTCTCTCTGAAACAACTTTTTGATCCATACAGCTTAGCTGCTATCTAGGTAAACTTACTGAGCCAAGCCAGGGATACCAGCTGACCTTATGGGAACGCATGAGGCTACACATGACAGAAAGACGGATCTGGTCAGTTAGCTTAAGATTTACCAAAAATGGAAAACTGCTTTTAGTATTTTCTTGAGACTGATCAATAGTTTTTTTTTGGCTATTAAGAAAATTAAGATATTGCAGCAATGTGAAGTTGAAATAGATCAACCATGATCTTATTGGAATGGGATTCAAAGGGCTGAATAGACTACTTCTGCTCTTACTTTTTATATTCAGAATAAAGATTGATAAGAATGGTCAATTAAACTGATGTAAAATTTCTTTTATAATTTCCATTCACACTTTTACTCAAAACTCTAAATCCATTTGTAAAACATCAGCACAACATTTTGCTTGAGTCCTCATTTCCATCTTAAATAAATGCTAATTAAAACTCAATGTTTCTTTTGCAATTGGTGAATAAAAAACTAAAATGTGTTTCACTTAGTAATGTGTGTACTTAGAATGATTCACAGTGAGATGCTGCTGCTACTTGCAGCTATTCCTTCCTCCCTGTAGATCTGTCATGTATGTTGCAACTATCTGTCTTGAGCCATTTTCACAAGACAAGTTACTCATCTGCAACCACCCTGTAACATCCATCATCTGACAATGTCTAGGTTGAGCTCTCTTTCTGCTCACCTCCACTTTGCCCTCTAGAAGATATCTCTGTATCTGTTTTACTCCAACGAAATGGCCAAATTACTGACACTTTGTTTTCTGGATCTCATTTTTTTGAGTTCTATTTCATTTAGAGTGTCTTTTCATTGGTCTTAAAGTGTATATATGGAACTTTTAGCCTAAGTCTTAGCATTCACACGGTTTTATTTTCTTCCACAGATCTTTAATTTTTAATTCCAAGGCATATGCCTAAAAGACAGAAAGTAGTATTTTGAGTTTTATATCTTTTTACAAACTTGAGTTTCTTTGTTGTTAGCTTGGTCTTCACCTTAATAAAATTACTTGTGGCTATCTCTATCCTTTCGAACTTCTCCATCATATCTACTATATTCTATAAACAGACATAGAGAAAATTATCTGCTTGGTCCAATGTGATACCATCTATTTTAATCTTCTGTTGAGTTTCTTTTAATTCTCCTACTTACTACTGTTCTTGTGTAATTATTATGGATGTTCATTTAAGAATATAAAAGGTTCATGTTGCATAGGCCTGTGCGATGTAAGCTGATGGCATAACAGATGTCAATTAGGGAACGAATTGGCTAGAGTGACATGCCTATTGTCCTTTTACTTTCTGTTAAGTATAAAGGCCCTAATTAAAGTGATTTTAAATACTGTAAGGAAATTATGCTGGTTCTTCAATTGCACTAACAGTGTTAACATCTAATGGGATTACGTTCAATTATAGTTAACACTTTATTGTGTTAACATTTCATTTTGTAACCATTGAGAATCATGTTAAAATTTCATTAACCAAGTATGAGACCAGTAAGGGTCGACAAGACATTAATCTCATGCGTTTTAAACTGCTCATGTCTTCCTAAAGAGCTTGGGTGACACAGTGGCTCAATGATTAGCACCAGGGACCCAGGTTTGATTCCAGCCTTGGGTGACTGTCTGTGTGGAATTTACATGTTCACCCTATGTCTGTGTGGGTTTCCTCTGGGTGGTCTGGTTTCCTCCCATAGTCCAACGATTTCTAGGCTAAGCAGGTTAGCCATGATAAATACGGGGTTACAGCAATAGGGTAGCGGGCTGCATCTGGATGGGATGGTCTTCAGAGGATTGGTGCAGACACAATGGGCTGAAAGGCCTCTTTCTGCACTGTAGGGATTCTATGAATTAAAGTATGATTACATTTTGTTAACCCCAAATTTTAATTGTGTTATCAAGAAGCAATGGGACTTTGCTTGAAATATAACTTTTGGATACCTAGGACTGCTGACACAGGAAGACAGCTTAAATTAATAAAGGAACCATATAAGAAAAAGATATTTGAATGTGCCTCAGTTCTGTGGGGACAGTACCTAAATATTAGATTTTATATTTTGGGCATTAAACTTTGGGTAACTTTTTGACTGAAAACCTTATATCTACCTGAAATTCCTTGTGCTGGCTTAAAAGAATGATCCATCTAACTGCAAAAGAAAATCAAACTGATCTAAACTGAGAGATTGCATGTGTCACATCAGCCCTGGAATAGACCAGCATAAATCACACCATGTACAATCACATAACACTAAGAAAACCAAGGCACTGGAAAGAGTATAAAAAGGACAGTAACAAAATCCCTAGCTGTGTTAGAGAAGGAGTCCATTACAAAAGGGCAGTCTAACAGCAGTGTGAAGATATACACAAGTGATCTCATGATGATTCCAGTACACTCCACTGCCTACAATCAAAGCAGGAAATAAACCCTTTAGAGACCTATGAACTATTGTCTGTCTTATCATGGTTTGTTATAGATTAATGTCAAATAAATTACCCTGATTGCTTTCTGTCACCTTTTTATCTCGTCTCCAAAACTTAACTAAAATGTATACGGAGGCCAACAGTGTGCGAAACCTGCAGCCTAAAACTGCAAATGAGTTAGAATTAAATGGACCAGTCTCACTCAGAGAGGTCACAAGTTTAGCTAGAATGGTGAAAATATCAGGCTGATATGGAAACATTACTGTCTATATCCATATTTTGAAGGAATACTGAATGAGCAAGATGAACACAGGCAGAAAACATTTTGAGACTTTTAATTTCTTGATGCCTGACATGGATATTACTTTTAACAGGATGAAATTGGCTATGGTTGGCCAGACATTCAGATCTGCGCCTCTTTTCAAAGATTGCAGTTAACCAATCAACTGAGGGTTTAAGATAATCACCATTGCAACTTCTTAACTGCCCTGTGAAAGACCTAGCAAGCCATTTAGTTGCATTCGAGAAGGCAGTTCATCACCACCGTCTTGAAGAAATTAGAGGATACCAATAAATGGCCAGTGACACCCATATGCTATGAAATAATTGTGAAAATAAATTCCCAGCATGCAGTATGCCAGTATATGGAGACAAGCATAAAATGGCTTTGGCCAGGTCATGGCCTAAAGCTGCAATATCCAACTAAAGCACTTGTTAATTTGAAATGATAAAATTGTTGCTCATTACGAAAGTTCAATGTACTCTACCAGCCACTTCATGCTCTCCATAATTCACACCTTGCAGAATGTACTAGGCATTTTGGTTCTAGACAAGGTTTTTTTTCTATTCATTCATGGGATGTGAACATCTCTGGCTGAGTCAGCATTTGTTTCTCCATCCCAAATTACCCTTGAGAAGGTGCGGGTGAGCTGCATTCTTGAGCCACTATAGTCCATTTGATGTACATATACCAACAATGGTGTTAGGGAGGAAGTTCCATGATTCTGATTCAGCAACACTAAAGGTACAGCCATACATAATCCAAGTCAGGATGGAATGTGGCTCAGAGGGTTGACATGAGATAGGGAGGGAAGTGAAGGAACGAGCAATGAAAGGAAAATAGATGAAGAAAATTGAGAAAAATACCTGGGCTCCTACATTTCCTTCTTTTAGTTTGTTAATATTTGTATATGTCTTGTTCAAAGTTTTCAAGTCAACTGCAGTCAGGTTGTTGTTAAAGTGTCTTCTCAGTTGTAGTGCTAAATCATTGTGGCTAAGAGCAATAACAAATGATTATCAGCTTCTTCAAAATGCTATCTGTGGAAGTTCAGTTATTTTATTTCTGGTAAACATTATTTTATCAATATTTGTTCATCCAACTTACAGTCTCCCATCATTGAAAACAACCATTTCTTAAATAATGATTTTGACTTCATTTCAGAAGCATACCTCACATGTTGATCATTCGTTGTTGATCTTATCTCATTCCATTCCTATCTGACTAGCTGTAGCCAGACAACAACCTGCAAAAGGGTCCAAATTACCCCTGCACCAATCCTCCTTGTACCCAAAGGATTTTTCCTTGGGTCCCTCCAATTTCTCATCTGCATTCGCAACATCATCCAAAAGGACAGTATCAGTCTTTTGCACTTACTCTGACAACACTCAAGTTCGCTATCTTTCAACCCAAAGTTTGCAATCTTTCAACCCTCTCCACCACTATTGATTCCTCACACTCTGGTCTGCCACTGCTTGCAGTTATAAATTTTGTTCAACTAAACCCTGGGAAGATCAAATTCAGTGCGTTCGATGCTTGCTATGAAATCTATTCCTTATCCACTGACTTTCATTGGTCACTACTGGAACGAAGCAGATTATTCAAGCTTGATGCTTCAGTTGAACTTCCAGCCTCAAATAGACTCCATTACTTGCCAAGCGCACTGCTTACTTCTACCCCTCGTTACTGGTTTCAGCCTGAATTCCTTTCTGTTATTATTACTACCTATTTTGTTTAGTTTTAACAAGCTCTGTTGTGACATTTCAATTTGTTTCTCATTTCTAAATATTTTACAGTGCAGTAAACTTAGTTTTCCAAACAATGAATATGGAGGAAGGAAGGAAGGTAAATATAGTGAACATACCCATCGATTAAAGGCGCAGATTCCATGATTTCAATTACTTCTTTGTTTCTTTGGGCCACCAATCTGGTGGAAAGTAGTAAGAGTGGAAACAAAACTATGTAGTATGGTACCCAGAAACCCATCTTGTCGGAAACAATATTTCTCTCAGAATTGTGGAGATACGATAAATAGCACTCTGTACAACAATCGACCCAATAAGCGGCTAGGAGAAAACAAGACAAACGCGGAATTAAATCTGTTCCAAAACTCATTCATTCTGAGACAGTTGCTGCACTGAAGCTGTTGGAAAGAGTTGCTTTTCTTTCTTGTTGAAGGGTGAGTGAATGTATTTGTGTTTGGGTGGTCGGGGAGGAGAGAAGATTGAAAATAGAGTTTCCAGAAGAATCCAACTAAACAGTGGATGACGGGCAATAAAGATGTTTCTGCTTCATGCTATCTAAAGTGCAGCTTACTCAAGTGCAGTTCCATAGAGAAGAATGGAGAAAAACTTACATTTATCAAGTTCTGTTCAAGACTCAAAGCACTTTAGAGTGAATAAAATCTTACACTGTACAGTCACTGTTGTAATGTTGGAAACAATACAGACAAATCACACACTGCAACATCCCACAGGAAAAAAAAAATTGCCATATCATTGTACTTTTAGCAATGTTCTTTAAGGGATAAATGTTAGACAGAACACTGGAAACATCATAGGGGAAACAGTGGAATAGTGATAATTTTACTGGAGTAGCAATCCAGAAACTCAGGTGAATACACCTACGAAATGAATTCAGAACCATTGCAGTAACTGGTGACATTTTAAGTTTAATGAATTAACAAATCTGGATTTTAATTTTAAGGCATCATTATCCAGAAAAAAAATGCACCTGGTTCACTAAGGTCCTTTGGAGAAGAAAATTCATGCCCTTACCTGAATTATTCAACAAGTTGCTCCAGAACAACAGCACTGTGGTTGATTCTTAACTGCCCTTCAAAATGGTCTGGGGCAGGCTATTCAGTTATACCAAAATGTGACCAAAAATTTAGAAAGGACGTCTCTGCAGCTGAAATGGCAATGAAACATTGGCCCAGTCAACACGGCAGGGCTCTCCTTATAAATATCTGGGGGGCTTCTGCCAAAATTGGGAAAGCTGAACCACAGACTAGTCAAGTAACACTTTGACATAGCCATACTCATAGCATCGTACTTTATAAATGTGCCAGACACTATCATCACCGCTACAGGGTACATCCTATTCCACCGACAGGACAGACCCACCAAAGGTGGCAGTACAGTGATATACAGTCGGCAAGCAATTTCCCTCAATATTGACTCCAGATCCATAAAGCACCATGGTAACAGGTCAAAGAATGGCAAAAGAAACTTGTGGTCAATGATCTTCATGCTCCTCCATACTGAGCCCCTTTTCCCAGCAGGAAAATCCTTGTGAGTTACACAGACTGATCCAACTCATTTAGCATACGTCAAAATGGGGTTCTGGTACATTCAAAGTGTGACATTTTTTAACGTATTTTTTTCCTCAGTGTTAGAAGAGGAATTGACAGCAGCAAAGGCATATAATGTACTATGGGTAAGGCACTTCAATAGCCACCACCAAGAGTAGCTCAGCACATCACTGATCATGTGGCCAAGTCATGAACAGCATTATTTTTCTGACCAGGCCTACAGCAGGTGATGAGGGAACTAGTGAAAGGAGAAAACAGCTAGACTTCATCCTCACCTAGCTCCCTGCCACAGAGGGGTCTGTTCATGACAGTATTGACAGGTATGGTCAGCACACAGTCCTTCTCGAAAGAAAGCCCCATCTACATCGAACCACAGAAACCATAGAAATATGATACAGCACAGAAGGGGAGCATTTGGCCCACCTGTCCATGCTGACCCAAAGATTCCCAGATGCCCTTTCTAAATAGATCGAGAGAAATACACATTGAGGGTAGCCTCCATTATGTTGTGTGGCAATTACCAATAAGCTAGATAGGATAGATTTTGAACAGACTCAGCAGTTTAGAACTAAGCACCAACAAGGCACAATGAGCAATAAACAGCAACAGAACTGTATTCAATCACAACTTGTAGTCTTGTGCCCTGGCACACTTCACAATCTACCCTTCTGATCAACAACACATCAACTCTTGTTCAATGTGGTGTGCAGAAGTGCATGCCAGGAGCAACACCAGGCAGAGTTCAAAATGTGTTGTCCATCTGGGGAAGTCACAACACGAGACAACAAATGTGCTAAATCGCAGAAACAACATGCAACAGCGAGCTAAGCAATCCTGTAACCAAATGCAGTCTTGCCATAACAACATCCCCATCATCAATGATGGGGGAGCGAAGCATAGTGCAAAAAATAAGTCTGAATCATTGGCAACCACCTTCTATTTTAGCCACATCCTGGGATTGACAGCATACCAGACACCATACAGTCATTGAGTCCTAGAGTTATACAACATGAAAACAGACCCTTCAGTCTGACTCATCCATGCTGACCAGGAATCCTAAATTAATCTAGTCCCATTTGCCAATGTTTGGCCCATATCCCTCTAAAACCTTCCTATTTATATACCCATCCAGATGCCTTTTAAATGTCATAATCGTACCAGCCTCCACCACCTCCTCTGGCGGCTCATTCCATACATGCACCACCCTCAGTATGAAAGAAGTTGCCCCTTAGGTCCCTTTTAAATCTTCTCACCTTAAACCTATGCCCTCTAGTTTTGGACTTCTCTACCCTGGGGAAAAGATCTTGGCTATTCATACTATCCATGTCCATCATGATATTATAAACTTCTATAAGGTCACCCCTCAGTCTCCGATGCTCCAGGGAAAATAGCCTCAGCCTATTCAGCCTCTCCCTTTAGCTCAAACCCTCCAACCCTGACAACACCCTTGTAAATCTTTTCTGCGCCCTTTCAAGTTTAACAACATCTTTCCTATAGCAGGGAGACCAGAACTGAACATAGTTTTCCAAAAGTGGCCTAATCAATGTCCCGTACAGCTGCAACATGACATCCCAATTTCTATACTCAATACAGTGACCAATAAAGAGAAGCATACCAAACGCCTTCTTCACTACCCTGTTTACCTACAACTCCACTTTCAAGGAACTATGAATCTGCATTCCATAGTCTCTTTGTTCAGCAACACTCCTCAGGACCTTACCATCAAGTGTATAGGGCCTGCTCTGATTTGCCTTACTAAAATGCAGCATCTCACGTTTATCTAACTTAAACTCCATCTGCCACTCCTTGGCCCATCTGTCCATCTGATCAAGGTCCTGTTTTACTCCGAAGTAACCTTATTCACTGTCCACTACACCTCCAATTTTGGTGTTATCCCCAAACTTACTAACCATGCCTCCTATATTCACATCCAACTTCTTCATTTAAATGCCATTCTTCAACCAAGTTAATTCACTCCATATGATATGTAAAAGCAGCAGAAGAAACTCATTACAGCAAAGGCTGGGGCTGTAACAACTTTCAGGGAGCTATACTGAAGACTCACAATTAGCAGTGCCCTTTGCCAATCTGTTCTAGTACAGCCAGAACTCTGGCATCCACCTGAAAACCAGGCATGTCCTGTCAACAAAAAGGCAGGAAAAATCCAATTAGCATTCAACCAGTTATTCCCAAACCTCAACACTATGATGGAAAGTGTCATCAATATCACAATCAAACAGTACTGAAATAGTAATAAGCTGCTCAGCCTGTGTTCCACCACAGCCACTCAGCTCCTGATCTCATCACAGCCTTGGTTCAAACATGAACAAAACAGCAGAATTCCAGAGGTCAGGTGAGATTGACTATCCTTGACTTCAAAGCAGCAATTGATGGAGTGTGGCATCAAGGGGCCCTGGAAAATTTACACTCAATGGGAGCTTGGAAAGAAAACTCTCCGCTGCTCGGAATAATATCCAGCGCATGTGAAAATACTTCAGCCTGTCAGCGATTTCACGCCTAGGATATTTCTGCAGGAGTTCCTTAGGGTAGTGTCCTAAACCCAACCATCAAAAGCTGCTTCAACATCGACGTTCCCTCAAACATAAGATCAGAAATGTGGGTGTTTTGCTGATGATTTCACGACGCTCAGCACCATTTGCTATTCTCAGAACCTGAAGTAGCAAGATCTGGGCAGCACTCAGGCTTAGACTGACATGTAACAAATAACATTCACAGTACCAAAATACCGAGCAATTACTATCTCCGGCAGGAGAGAATTTAACCTTCTTGTCTTGATTTCAACAGCACTGCCATTGTTGAATCTCCGATTATTCTGTGGGAGTTGTCATTGAATAGAAACTTAACTAGAGAAACCAGTTTGTGGCTACAAGAGCAGATCGGAGGCTGGGAACCATGCAGTGGATAACTCACTTCTTGCTTCCCCAGAGCCTGTCCACCTTCTACAAGGAGCAAGCCAGGACTCAGCCATACAGCACGGTAACAGACCCTTCGGTCCAACTCGGCCACACCGACCAGACTGCCCAATCTGACCCAGTCCCATTTGTCAGCATTTGGCCCATGTTCCTCTGTACTTTCCATTTGCCTGGATGAGTGTAGCTCCAACGATCAAGGATCGACATGATCTAGTATAAGGCAGCCTCCTCAATCAGCATGGCACTCACCTACACTTAAAACATTTATTCTCTCCACGAGCGACGCACAGTGTGTGTTGTACACAAGATGCACTGCAACAACTCTCCAAAATTCCCTCAGCGGCACCTTCCAAATCCGCACACTTTGGGATAAGAGCAGCAGATGCATGGGAACAGCATGGTAAGAGCAAGTTCCTTTTCAAGCCATCACATAGTACGTTCATTGTGGCTGGTTCAGAACCCTGGAACTCCCTCCCTAATTGCACACTATAGCTGTACCTGCCCCACTACCTTCTGACGGGCAAAGTGAGATGGGTTACAAATATTGGCATTGCCAGCGACACTCACATCCCAGACCTTTTTTTAAGTTAAGCTCCTATGTTTTATTTTAAAGCAGAACCATAGAATCTTTCCGAGAAAGATGCACAGTTCTGCTTTAATGTCTCACCCAAAACAATGCACCCCCGCGTTGGCCAGCAGTGCCTGCCCGGACTTTGTGCTCGGATCTTGCAATGGGACAGTGAACTCACAAATGTAACTGAGTTGGCAACAGAGCAGCCGGCTCGTCTGAGTTTTTACACTATTTTGTCCCGTTCAAAGTTCCAGCGCTGTTTCTAACATAACATAGCAATGGACAGTATGGATAAAGCAGCTCCACAAGATGTTCTCTGACAGGAAGAGAAAAGGAGGCATAAACTTTAAACTCTTTCTGGTTTCGGGGTAGCAGAGCTTCGTTAAACTATTTGCACCTCGTTTGCGAGTTATTCTCCAACCACTATTGTTCCATAGGTAATAAAGGCGTCCCTTGGCAGAGAGCAGCGTTAGAGCCTGAAACAGTCACTTTAAAGACAGCGCCGCGCTTTGACAAAGATATGGTCAGGTACACTTACACTGCCCCCTCTGTAGCCGTCCCGCTCACACACTAGCACAGGGCTGACCACTTCTCTCTCACCTTCCCCCAGGCGCTGCTCCTGTCCACTGGCAGTTCTCTGTGACACTGTGATCCCCGGGGCCCCGCAGGACAAGTTTCTGCAGTGTATAACGCCTACATTTCCACTGACATCACTCAGCTCAGCCCCGAAGCAGGACTCGTTGCAGCAATGCCTCTAATGTGTTAACACCAATAGTCTGAGGACCTCAAGAGAAGCGCCCTGGACAGTTCATTGAAGATAAGTTGGACTGCCAAGAATTAGCTCCAAGCCCTTGACAAAAAAAAGCATTCATCACAGTGCTTCATCCTTATCTGAGAATCCTGCTGGATTGGGAATGTTAGTGAAATGAGATTGAACCACAGGAACAGGCTTGACCGTAAAGTTCCCCACCAACTACATTCAACATCTAAGGCCACACTGTAAAGAATGATCAACATTTGTAAAGCACAGAGGATCGTCGGATATCGGTGACTGCAGAACCACTTGCCAATTTTTATAAAGTACCTTAGAAAGTATCCTATCCCAGAGCATTACAGCCTGGTATGTGCTCTGCATAACACTGCAAGAAATTCGAGTGGTGTACCAGCCCAGTCCATCACAAAGACCAGCCTTCCTTCCATTGTCTCCATCTATACTTCCAGTCACCTGGGGAAAGCGGCCAACATAATCAAAGAGCCCTCCCACCCCAGTTATACTTCTTTCCACCCTCTTCCATTGGGCAGAAGATACAGAAGTTTAAAAACAACGTACCAACAGATTCAAGAACAGCTTCTTCCCTACTGTAGTCAGACTTTTGAACAGACTTCTCATTATTGAAGTTGATCTTTCTCTACACCTTCTCTGGAGCTGTAACACTGTATTACTCATTCTGTTCTATTACCCTGGTGTACTTAGGTATGCCTGGATAGCACGCAACACAATATGTTTCACTGCATTGCACTATATGTGACAATAATAAAATCAAATCAAAGCAAATCCCCACAGCCACAGAAACTTCAAAATACCAGGAGAGAAAATGGGAGGGGTTTGGATAACTTTAAAGAGAAGTTAGATTTGACAGCACCTAAACTATAATGCATAGTAACAATCTATAAACTATAAAGAAGCAGACACAAATTGAACCATTTATTTTCAAAACTATTAAAGATAATAAAATTATTACACATTATTACAAAACATGTTCTGGTTCAACCTGTTTATCCATCCGCTTAATTATCTTTTGTGTAAACTCCTGATGAAGATTGCTTATGAAGTGTGCATTGAGATATATTGCGCACTAACACTCACAAGATATTTACCCCATAAACTGCATTGTTTTAAAATTTTCAATACAAAGACAGCATTGCGAGAGAATTAGAATTCCCCTCTGTTTTTGTGTTCATTTACATTTCCACATTTGCATGTGTGTACGTTTCTGTGATAAACAAATTGTGGTAATCTTGTTTCAATAAGAATTTCCCTAATTTGATTCAAATATTTCATCTGACTCATTAGCACTGATGTCAATTTTTTTGTCCATTACAGCTGTAGCGAGTCTTATTGTGGGCAGGTTGATTAATTTCTCATTAAGTTTCTTCGAAGGCATAGATCAGGAGAGGTTCAGTGAGTGGGAGCAGAAGTATGTTGTTCACTGATGTCAATTTGTCTTGAGTTTTTGCACAGAGACAGACATAATTTCACAAACTAAACTGACAGCCTCTTTCAGTGAAGGTTGTAATTGGGGAGACCTTGTCCCATATTTTGTCCTTCTCCAATTTGGGGAGTTGGAAGCACGGAGAGTCCATTGAAAATGCAGCACCACAAAGCTGCATACACTCTGCAGGTTGTAGATGGTGAGTTTAAGGAAGAACACAGGTCAGAATGAGGAACTGGTTGTGCTAACCAGCTATATATTGGCTGTAGGCCCAGCACAATATCTACCACCATTGCAGCCCTAAGCTTTCGGAACACAAGAGATCTGCTTCCAAAGTAAGATGACCTACAAATCATGAAGTCTCTGCAAAATACATTAAATTTTGGCAAATAGCTTGGATGTGTGCAAGCATAAGCAAATGGTTCTCAGCAATGAGCCTGCCATTGAACATCAGCAGTTGAACAGAAAATACAGATATTGGAGTATCTCTCATCAACCCTTACAAACCTGACCTAGAAATCTTGTCCACCTGTTACATAAAGATAATTGTGACTAATTGGACTCTGTACTCCCCAACCTAACCCTCTGCCACCTTTTGGCATTACATGGCCACAAAATGCTCAAAAACAGGACATTCACTTATACTTCTGATGGGAGATGTGCCAGGCATCATCTTCATCACTGTACACTGAAAGACTGCTGAAACAAGTCGCTTCTAGAATTTGCATAGCCTTGTAACGCTTCCTTTGAGAATTAGCCACAACCGGGAGAAAGAAGTGAGGTTTCATAGAACAGGTAAAGCTGTTCAAAGACGAAGAAAAATGACAACAGATCTCAACACAAAAGGAGACAAAATCTGCTGGGTGTATTCAGAGAGCAATTCTCTGAAATCAAGTGGGGACCAAACACAAAATGAAAGCGATTCTGACTGAAGTCTGGGAACTGCCACAGCCATAATTACAACCTCAAAGCCGGACAAGAGTAATATTACTTGTGGCTATCAAGGCGAATTGTCTATTAACTTTTATACATCTGACTCCTTCCAGGTCGCCTTTAGATATCTAAGTAGTGTTTAGCAATTTAAAGAATTCTGTTGCATTAGGGAGGCACTGAGTCAATTTGCAAAAAGAAACAATTTAATCCAACTCTCTTTTGCCCAAATCAAACAGACAGCATGCACAAGAACTTACTCTGATTGCCATTGGTTATATATGCAATGTTTTGGATGCAGTTCATGTCATCTTGGTCACTTTCTTTCTTTAAATATGTGACAAGGCCATAATTACCCATCCCCAAACTGCCCTTGAGGTGGTGGTAGGGAGCTGCATTCTTGAACTATTGCAGGCCACATGGTGTAGGTACATCTCCAATGTGAGTTCCAGGGTTTTGACCCAGTAACAATGAAGGGATGATGATATAATTTTAAATTACAATAGGGTGTGACTTAAAGGTGCATTGCAGGTGGTAGGGTTCTTATGTTGTGTTTTGCCATGGTTAATGATATCTCCGGGATTGACTAATTCCATAGCTTAGTTCATTTAAAACAGGAAAATACATCATAATTTATAAAATATACAATACACAGAGCAAACAGTTTCAGTGCATGTTGATTGCACATCCAATGTGCAATCCAGGTGACGTGAAAATGACAGCCCTCGACATAAAGGCTGCATTCGACCAAGTGTGGCATCAAGGATCCTGAGCAAAACTGGTGTCAATGGGTATCAGGGGGCAAACTCTGTCCTGGTTGGAGTGAAACCTGCCACATAAGAAGATGGTTGTGGTTGTCAGAAGTAAATCATTTCAGCCTCAGGTCATCTCTGCAGGAGTTCCTCAGGGTAGTGTCTTTGGCCCAACCATCTTCAGCTGCTTCATTAATGACCTTCCCTCCATCATTAGGTCAGAAATGGGGATGTTCGCTGATGATTGAACAATGTTCAACACCATTCACAACTCTTCAGATACTGAAGCAGTCCATGTTCAAATGTAACAAGCTCTGGACAATATTCAAGCTTGGGCTGACAACTGGCAAGTGACATTCGCACCACACAAATGCCAGGCTATGACCATCACCAATAAGATACAATCTAATCACCGCCCCTTGACATTCTATGGTGTTACCATCACTGAATCCCCCACTATCAACATCCTTGGGATTACCATTGACCAGAAACTCAACTGGACTCGTCACATAAACACAGTGTCTACCAGAGCAGGTCAGAAGCTAGGTATACTGTGGCAAGTAACTGGCCTCCTAACTCCCCAAAGCCTGTCCACTATCTACAAGGCACAAGTCAGGAGTGTGATGGAATACTCCCCACTTGCCTGGATGGGTGCAGCCCCAACAACACTCAAGAAGCTTGACACCATCCAGGACAGAGCTGCCCACTTGATTGGCACTACATCCACAAGCATTCACTCCCTCCACCACCGATGCTCAGTAGCAGCAGAGTGTACTATCTACAAGATGCACTGCAGAAATTCACCAAAGATCCTTAGACAGCGCCTTCCAAATGCACAAATGCTTTCATTTAGAAGGACAAGTGCAGCAGATACTTAGGAACGTCATCACCTGTGAGTTCCCCTCCAAGCCACACATCATTCCTGACTTGGAAATATATCACTGTTCCTTCATTGTCACTGAGTCAAAACTCTGGAATTCCCTCCCTAAGGACATTGTGGGTCAACCTACAGCATGTGGACCGCAGTGGTTCAAGAAGGCAGCTCACCCCCACTTTCTCAAGGGCAATTTGGGATGGGCAATAAAAATGCTGGCCAGCCAGCAATGCCCACATCCCATAAGTGAAGAAAAATATTTAGACTAACTGGCAGGTAGAGTCATAGCCTTATATATACACAACACTGAGTCCTAAAAGATGAAGCCTCTTCACGGCAATGTTAGAGATAAAACTTTTCCACTCTTCCAAAAGAAACTTTAATAATTTGCAAATACAAATAAGACTATGAGCCTCTATAATATGCAGGCAAGTTACTGACACATCTTATGTTGGTGATTGTATCCGAAGATGCTGTTGATTTTCAGGGTTGTCATGATGTTGTCCATCATTCCTGTTTGTCAAGTGTTCTTTTGCTCTCCTGGAAGCCTGAATCTCCACCATTAGTTGCTTCGGTGGTTGTTCAGTTTCGTCTATATCCTGCTGAAGTTCTTTAAATCTAGCATCATTACCGGTAATTATTTCTGATAATTATCTCCTGACTGATTTGCAATTGCTTCCTGTGTGTTATGAGTTTTTATCTGTTATTGCAGATTTGGCACTTCTTTCAGCATTGCTTTGGACTTCACCCTATGTTCTAGTGGGTTATAGAGTCATAGAGATGTACAGCACAGAAACAGACTCTTCACTCCAAATCGTCCACGCTGACCAGGTATCCTAGATGAATCTAGTCCCATTTGCCAGCATTTGGCCCATATCCCATTAAACCCTTTCTAGTCATATACCCATCCAGATGTCTTTTAAATGTCGTAATTATACCAGCCTCCACCACTTCCTCTGGCAGCTCATTCCATACATGCACCACCCTCTGCATGAAAAGGTTGCCCCTTAGGTCCCTTTTAAATCTTTTCCCTCTCACTTTAAACCTACGCTGTCTAGTTTTATGCAAGTTGCTCCAGGC